AAAAACTTAGAAAATTTTATGATCCGATTGTAAATGATTTGAATGATTTGCAATCTACTGGTTTAATATTTGATACATTTAACAGTCAATTACATTTTACATTTACGACAATTGCTGCTGATAATTTAGCAGCACATGAAATCGCTGGTATGCAACAAACATTCAGTTCCGGATATTTTTGTAGGAGATGCTTAATAACTTATGAAAATCGACTTATACCATTAACCTATATTCACTTCATTCAACGAACACATCTTCAACATACAAAATGTTTACAATTACTTGAAAATAATCCACACATAAAATCAATGTATGGTGTTATTGGTCCAAGTCCACTTGATAATTTAATAAATTTTGACACAACTGCTTCTCTTCCGGGAGATGTGATGCACGATTATTTCGAAGGTAACTATTCATAAGATAAAATTTTGCTTGTAGATTGATTTTTTTTCTTTTTTTTTAGGTGTATGTCCGATCATTATCATGGCGATGTTAAAGGAAGCATCAAATTTAAAGCTGATTACTTTTGCTGCTATTCAGGAGAGAACAGAAAATTTTTCTTATGGTGAATTAGATGCATCAAATAAACCTCCTTCTATACAAGTTAAACATCTAAACAATGATCGTATTACTGGAAGTGCAGCTCAAAAATTCTGTCTGTTTCGATTGTTTCCAATCATCTTTTCTGATATGATCGAGCATTTAAAATCATTTAAAATTTACCTCATTTTGCGTGAAATGTTGGATATAATATTAGCTTTGCCTCAACGAAAAAGTTGGCTTCCTTGTCTTGAAACATTATCAATAAATTTTCAGTGTATGATGTTAGAGCTTTTGCCAGATAAAGCAACACCGAAGGTACATTATGCTACTGAGTATACAAAAATAATTGAGGAAAATGGTCCACCACTAAGGTATTGGTGTATGAGATATGAAGGTGCTCATTTGTATTTCAAAAAAATTGCTATGCAATCTTATAATTTCAAGAATATCCCGAAAACATTGGCTCAAAGACAACAACTTCGACAATGCTTTTTATTGTCCAACTGTCAATTCTTGAAAGCATTTGAAGAAGCTAGTGGTAATAAAATAATTCATATGTATGAAATAGATTCAAAAATCAAGGTTCTTCTCACTCGTCGATATGGACAACAATTTATTCAATCACAAACATTGTTTCAATGTTCGCAACTGATTCACAATCATGTTATTTACAAACAACATGCCGTTTATGTTTATGATTTAGAACATGTAGAAGAAATTCCATTATTTTTTCAAATAGTTCATATATTAAAGTTAAATCAAGAATGGATATTCGTTGTAGATCTTCTGAATACTGATGGATTTAGTACTAAACTATGGAGCTACAGAGTTAGCTCATATGATCGACTTGACATAGTTTCACCAAATAATTTAAAATATTATCACAAAGGACTTGACTTATATAAATTAGATCATTTTCATGTTGTTAATCTAACATCAAGACTAACAAAAGCAAATTGACATTTCTAGGATATAAAGCATACTGCTTTTTTTTTTCTTTTTTAATCTAATTCTGTGATTTAAGATCTAAACTTTCACAATTTGAGAATTGTCGAACCAGAACCTTCTTTTTATTTTTATTGTTTTTTGTTGTAGAGGAAGAAGTTGATGGTGAAACATTGTTCTATATGAACGATTTGAATCTATTGAAACCATTCAAATTGTCGTACAAAAATCAAATTATATTTTTGAAAGAAAGAGAAAAGTTATTTTCGTCGAAAACAAACGAAAAACCAACATCATCATCAACACCAAATGATACAGCATTATTAATTATAGATGAAAATCAACAAGATGATGAACATGAAAATCAATCAGCAGAAGCATCAATAAATGTATCATCTATCGAAACTATTATTACAACTGAAAATTTAACAGAAAAATCTCTTCCAGATCCTTATTTATTACCAGTGTTACCGAGTCAAGTCAACGATGCAATTAATCTTAAACAAATGGAAAAATTTGAAAAACTTTGCAACTTTCGTTCAATTATTATAGATGCTGTTTTTCATGATTTGAAAACAAATTACGGTTTGATGTAAGTATAATATTTTATTGTCTTATTTAAGTTCTTTTTTTTTATTTATTGGGGAGTTTTCTATAAATCTAGAGACGAGTCATTATGTTAAAATAACAAAACCCAATAGACTGTATAGGAAAATATAAAGAAGATTTTAACATATTAAATACATTTGTTTCTTATTAAGTTTTAAACTTTTAAAATTGGAATGTTAATAAATGAATTCATCTACATATTTTTTTTCTACATAGATATCCGACACGAGAACAATATACAACAATTGTTAATGGAATACTTAATCATTTGAAGATTGAACGTGATCTAAAAACATCTGTAAGTAAATCTGAAAAATAATCCTATCAATATTATAATCATTGATATTTTAGAATTCATGGCGAGAATCTCTCATTTCCAAATACAAACGAGAGAGACAAAATTTCGATGAAGAAAAAACAATCGAAATGAAGCTTAGATATTCAAGAGAAAAGTCCGGAAGAAAAATCAAAAAATATTCAACAACACAATTATCAGAAAGAAACACATCAAAAAAAGTAAGTTACACTAAAAACAGCCAAAAGGATATGTATGTTTTTATTTTCCTAGACATCAATCATTCAAGATACACCTAATGAAATACAACAAATGGAAGAAAAAGCTGAAACACTTAAAACAAATTTTCAAAATAAATCAATTGACGATCAACATTATCAACGGTTGTGGCTTGAAACTTTTGATTATCGACAAAATTTTATCAAGGAAAACACAACTGTAGATATTATAGAACGTTTTCCTGTTTATTCAAATCCATCTATGGTAAAAAAAAATTGCAAGACTTTCAGTATCACATTTTCATTTTAGATATTGACAGATGTTAAATTATTAACAGGTGTAGATTTGGATCATTCTGTTAAAGAAAAAATGAATTTGCTTTCTAATAAAATTTGTTCTAATGATAAATTTTTAACAGGTAGGAAAAAAGTTTATAGTATACCAAACAGTAATCTTGTTTATTAGATGATCCAATTGTTCGTTGTTTTAAAGTATTATGTAGTATACTAAACGACTCATGGAAACATTACGTTTGCTTTTATCCTGATGTAAGTTATTTGAAAATTTTTTTAAATTTTCTGAAATATCGCAAACATGAAAAGAATAGAAGAAGTTAGTTATATTTGGTCTTGTGTTCTAGTCAGCTAGGTAGTCTTCTTAGCTTGATTGAGAGACATCGCTTATTACTTTAGTTTTTCTTTATTTCTGACTACTACAGACTTTCTATCAATGTTATGGTTCTTTGCTTTAAACTTTCTTAAACATGCGGATATTAGCGGGCCATAAATGTTATTCGATCAATCGGATATTTTAAAGTATCATGCACAATATAGATGCTTCTATAAAATTGATTTTCTATCAGAAACTTTGACACATGAAAAATTCCCTCTGTTTGACTTCGGCATAATCTCTTATTACACAATAAAGAGAAGTTCTTATTACATTCCTTTTCTCTGAAGCTTATGCTTTTTAATTTACCTCGATTGATCTTCTGATTCTTTTTAGAAACCAGTTACTCCTCAACCAACAATGGTAATTGAGGAAAACGATATTAAAATCTACGTGGATTGGACCTTCATTTGCTCATCGAATTCTATGGAACAACCTTTGGCTTTAGTTGTTGGTTTATATTGTGTGATGAATCTTACGTTTCCAACGTATCGTACTGTTGTTAGATTTTTATATGTTTATTTCATGAATGATAAGCAACAACAATCAAATGTCATTCGAAAATTTTGTAAAGTATACAACATTCAACTTCAAGATAATCCTTCATCATCAAATGCTGCATTACTGGAAGAAACAAAAATTAATGATACGTATTTAAATGATAGACGTGAAAACAATGAAGAACAAAATATATCTTTTGAACTTCAAACGACAACATCAATTCAACCAACATCGATGGAATCAACATCACATGAATCAACATCAATTGATTCAATATCAACTGAGTCAATATCAACAGAATCAATATCAATGGAACCAATATCAATAGAATCAACGTCAACAGAATCAACATCAATGGAACCAATACCAACTGAACCAAAACGAATTGAACCAACAACATGTGAAAAACCAACAGCATTTCAACAACAATCAAATCGTAAACGCAAAGCAGAAGAAAAACATGATTATGAGCAACTGTCTCTGGAGATTGATGCATCGAAACAAAAAATAATGAGAAATCTCCGACCAAAACGACACAGACAATACGGACACATTCACAATGGCAACAAAAACTGTTTTATATGTCTCACTATTTCTTCTCTCATCATAAAAGAACTAGCGTTTTTTGTTTTTCTTATAAGAGAAGGAATTCATTTATTCGTTCGTCGGCTTTTTTAAAGTATTACTTTCTCGAGACAATTCGTCAAATGAGAGACATATAAGCCATCGAAATTTATTC